CAGCTCTTCCTGTAACAACCAGGCCAAAGGGAAGCCTTTGCCCCTCCATGCTCTGCAGGTACCTTCTCCGACCTGAACTTTCCCCAACCGCGGAGCGGAGGGAAGAATGGTTATTCGGGACAGTGGCCAGTGCTGCCTCCTCTGCTCCCCTTCCCCAGTCCCAGGATGGGCCCTCCTCCTCTCGCCCCTTTCCTGTGGGCTTGGTCCTGTGAAGAGCAGCTTGTTTCCTATGTGAACATCAATTCCTCAAGACTAAGGAGGCAGCACCCTTGGGAGAGGCAAGCAGCAGTCACCAGGTCCTTTTGTGCAGGGAGGCCCCTGCTGGTTAGAGCTGGTCTCTCCCCCAGGCCAGTGATAGCACGGAGCAGCCCTCAGATAGGAAAAATGCTGAAGCCAAAACCGGTTTGGTTCAGTGGATAGAGCGTCGGCCTGCGGACTGAAAGGTCTCGGGTTTGATTCCGGGCAAGGGCATGTACGCAGCTGATTGATGTTTCTCTCTCATTGATGTTTCTAACTCTCTATCCTTCTCTCTTCCTCTTTGTAAAAAATCAATAAAATATATTTTAAAAAAAATAAAGAAAAGTGTTGAAGCTGTCTTGGACTTCTTAACATACAATTCCTAGTAGCCAGAAGAAAAGAATATATTTAAAACGTTAGCCCAGAGTTAATCAGGTGGAAGGGGGTGAGAAAGAGGACATATGCAATATTTTCAACAATAAAGATTAAAAGAAAAAGAGCCAAGGCCAGTTTGGCTCAGTGGATGGAGCATTAGTCTGTGGACTGAGGGGTCCCAGGTTCGATTCCGGTCAAGGGCATGTAGATTCTGGTCAAGGGCATGTACATTGGTTGTGGGCACATCCCTGGTGGAGGGTTTGCAGGGGGCGGCTGGTCAAAGTTTCTCTCTCAGAGATGGTTCTAGCTCTCTATCCCTCTCCCTTCCTCTCTGTAAAAAAATCAATAAAATATACTTTAAAAAAAAGAATTATTAAAAAAAAGAAAAAGAAAAGAAAAAGAAAAATACTTTAGCTGAGCCCTAGCCAGTGTGGCTCAGTTGGTTGGGCGCTGTCCTGTGCACCAAATGGGGGCAGGTTCAATTCCCATCAGAGCTCATACTCAGGTTGCAGGGTTGGTACCCCATCGATGTTTCTCTCTCTTTTTCTCTCTCTCTCTCTCTCCTTCTCTCTCTCTCTCCTTCTCTCTCTCTCTCTTTCTTCTTCTTTCTGGAGATACAAATATGTAGCAACTGCTACAAACTCATTTCCCTGGCCAAATATTGAAAAGGTGTAGTTAAGCCGAGACCGGTTTGGCTCAATGGATAGAGCGTCGGCTTGGGGACTGAAGGGTCCCGGGTTCGATTCCGGTCAAGGGCATGTACCTTGGTTGCGGGCATATCTCCAGTAGGGGGTGTGCAAGAGACAGCTGATCGATGACTCTCTCTCATCGATGTTTCTAACTCTCTATCTCTCTTCCTTCTCCTCTGTACAAAATCAATAAAATATATTTAATAGAAAAAAAAAAAAAAAAAAAAAAAAAAAAAAAAAAAAAAAGAAAAGGTGTAGTTAAAACAAAACACAACACAACACAACAACAAACAGAAAAAGCCCTAGCTCTTGTCAGGGGGACAAAGTGCAGCTTCTGGAAGTAGACATTCTCCTTCCTCACGCTCTCGGTCCTGCGTCTAGGAAGAAGGGGGATGTCAAGAGAGGGACGACAACAACAACAAAAAACAAAGAGAGGGACAAGGTAAAACTATTCCCCTAGAGTAGGATTTCACTCCTGTCCAAGAGTGCAGTCCAATAACATGGGAGATTTCACTAGTAAATGTACTGTTTTTCAGAAGAATTTTAAGCTAATTAAATTTACTCCTTTATCTAAGAGATTCCTGAAGATTTAAAGAGAAAAATCAATGTCTTTCAAAGGAACAGGGCAATAATACCACTAAAATATGAAATTCCTATTTCTCTCCATTCATAAAACAGACAAAAGGCATTATTGTTCTCTAGTTTTATTATTTTTCAATCTTCCCAACACATGAACTATAACTTGGTTTGAGATTTTTTTCAGTGCATTTCACAGCAAAAATGAACAAGGGGATCATTAAAATGGTTGTACATAAACCGATTATTTACAATTTGTTGAAAAATTTATTTTGCTGCTTTTGTCCTATTAACCCCTTCAATAAAACACAATTTATCAGAGCACAAAGCTTAAATTTCTAATGATGATGCAACAAATACAGCCACCTTCAATGGCTGGTGAATAACAGGTATACACTACACACACTGATTGGAAGACCACATCGGAAGAACAGAGTAAGGCACCACTCCTGGAAAATTAAGGTAGCCTGCAGTAACCAGTACTGAGCACCGTAAGTAGGTACTCAATAAATACTTGAATGAATGATGAAAGCTATAATTAGCACTATCCTTTTAGTTGCCAGAAATTCTTTAACCTCAATAAAATACTTATTTAAAAAGATTTGTACCTGGATACAATTTCCTGATATCTTTTAATTTCGTGCTCTTTCTTCAGCATGAGTTTCCTTGAAAAGAAAATAAAACCATACTGTACACGTTCTCAGTCACATATATAACTTTTGAATTATTGACAAATATGAACAGTTGTTTTAAAATTTTGAGTGAACAGAGGTAAGATAAAGCATAATGATCCAGAGGGTAACACATAATACTGTATATTAACCTACAAGTGGAAAAAAGGTAAGGAAAAAAGTAACAGTTTTATTTCTTAATATCTGCTGTTCTTTAATGCCTCAGTTCTTGAGAAAGGCCAGAATCTCATCATATTGATATGAACACATTTAAAAAATTGTCTCTCAAGTGAAATATTTAATAAAACTAGGTATTGAAAAATGTTCTGAAATTTTTCAAGTCAATGTTGTTTTCAAGTATATTAAAATGCTCAGAAGAAAAAGTTCTCCATGGTTATAATTTGAATCAAAAGAGAGTTCCGACAGAGGTGGATAATGCATAAGATCCTGACACAAGCACACAGTCTCTTTGAAGGAATAGAATGCCTTGTTAGTACAACCTGGTTGATTTTTTAACACTGATTTCAGGCACAATGGCTTGAATCCACTTCTGGGTCGTCTTTCTCCTCCTCCTGGTTTATGGGTAATGAATACTTAAGTTATTGATAGAAAGCAAAGCAGAGACTCTGAAAGAGACTTCACTTTTCACTATAAAGAAATCAAAGTCATTGAGTTTTTCACTGTTGTGTTTATCTGCTGCCCCCATACAAAAACAGGGGATTCAACTTTAGCTTTAGGAACAGGAAGTAGTTAAAGATCAATCATCTAACAAGTCAGGTGAAAGGTTTTCAGATGATATTGCTCACGTCACATGGACAGGTTGGTGAGAGGTCCATAGTGCTTCTTCGACACTTTGGTCTCGCTGTAGTTCTATGGTGCCCTAATAGATACATTCATGTTTAGCTAGTTTCAGTCTGCAATCAGGAAGTAGGTCACTCAGTGCAATAACTCCATTCTGGGTTTGGGTAAACAGAAGAATTTCATTTGGTCGAGTCTTAGTGTGTGTCACTCTGCTGGCTGTGTTGTTGGAATTATTTTCCAAAGGGGTCTGTGATAAATCCAGCCATCTCCCTGAAACAAGTAGAAGAATAAATTAAAGAACGATTCCTCTAAAATTTTCAGAAGCAGTGACCAAAACTGGAAGCAACACCTTCATTGAAATCGCATACTTTTCTCACATTTAAAAACAAGAGTTTCTGTAAAGGAAAAAGAAAAATCTCTGTGGTTAGTTATGACATAAAGCAATGCCTGTGGCTTAGCTAGGATTGGGTGAGAAATTCTGGTCTAGGAGGATGTAGTTTGTGTCCTACGAACACTTCCTTTTGCAGAAGTCATCTGTGGTAACTCTGCCCATTTTGCCCAAATGCTCAGATTGAGGCTCACCCGGAGCGGCAGAAGCAGGAGGAGCACGAATAAATGGTCATGTTCTCTCCATCTCAACTGGCATCTCTAGTATCTACGTATTGTTTTCTAGTTCTTTCCTGACTCAACCCCATTAGCTTCCCCTCGTTCCTGTGAATAGAAGGATACCACCAGGAGATAAAGCCAGAGACTGAACTAAAGACAGGAGAAGACCGAGTGAGGAAAAGAGAGCTGTAGCAAGTGCATGATACTAGGGGGTAGCTGGGCAGAATAGAGGTCCCAAAAGCTATGAGTAGAGTTCAGTGTTTATGGAAGTAGATGTCAGCAGGATTTGAAACTCTGTCCTTAACCCCAATGTCTCTTTAAATTTATTTATATTTTAAAAATATTTTTATAGCCGAAACCGGTTTGGCTCAGTGGATAGAGCGTCAGCCTGAGGACTGAAAGGTCACAGATTCAAATCTGGTCAAGAGCTTGTACCCTGGTTGTGGGCACATCCCAAGTAGGGGGTGTGCAAGAGGCAGCTGGTCGATGTTTCTCTCATTGTTGTTTCTAACTCTCTATCCCTCTCCCTTCCTCTCTGTAAAAAAAAAAAAAAAAAAATCAATAAAATATATTTTATATATTTATTCTACCTTGTTCCAAAAATGATTTAAGGCCACCAATTATTTGGCTTGTAGTGACAAGGACTCTCTCCTTGACTAAATCTCATCTTGGCCTGCTGAGTCCAGTTTTAGCAAAAGCACATCCTGATAAACCAGTTTATCAAGAATCATCTCATTCTTCTTTATTTTTTTAAAGTAGAGCATTAAAAAAAATAATAATAATACAAATAAATAAAAATATATATATTGATTTCAGAGAGGAAGGGAGAGGGAGAGAGAAATCGAAACATCAATGACGAGAGAGAATCATTGATCATCTATCTCCTGCAAAGCCCCCCGGGCCCCCCCGGGCCCCCCCCCCCCCCTGTCCCAGGGACTGAGCCCTCAACCTGAGCATGTGCCCTTGGCCAGAATCGAACCTGGGACCTTTTAGTTCATAGGCTGACACTCTATCCCTGAGCCAAACCAGCTAGTGCAAATCACCTCATTCTACAATAATAGCCAATCAAACTCCTCTTCTCTCATCCTTAATATCTACTCAAGTGCCTCTTTTTCCTCCCCTATCCATGATACCCAAACAAGTTCCTCTTAGTAATTTTCCATCCACTTCCTTGCCCTGCCCATTGGCTATAAATTCCACTTGTTTTATATTCAGAGTTGAGTTCAGTCTCTCTACTCTATTGCAATAGTCTTGAATAAAGTCTTCCTTGCCATTTTTAATGTATCAGAATAAATTTTCTTTAACAACAGCAGCCATTAGGTTGTTTATTAGAGCAAATCACCTGGTTGTTATCCTCACCACCTATATTTGTCTTTGAAAAAGACATGGCTACCTAACTACATTACAGAAGGCTAGGTTTAGAAATTAAGACATGCTATCTGAACATCCATCTCATTTTACAGATGAAGAAACTGAGGCTCTGAGGAGTGGAATGAACTGCCCGACTTTACCAAGGAAGGCGAGAGTGCTTTTCAGTGCAGCTTCCATATATTTACCCACATTTTACAACGAGAAAAGTGCGGTTCTAAGTGGTAAATAAACTATCCAAGTGAGAGCTGGGGCTCACACTTAGTCCATCTGACTCTAATATGCCCTACTGTACTATAATAGCCATCCTGCTTACTTTTATATACAACTTAAGAAATGTTAAACATTCACTTGAGAGGACACAAGTAATAGATCCTGCTGGACATGTAAAATAAAAAGGAATGGAAGACGTCATACATTAAATGTCAGTGAGAAATAGTCAGGAAAAGAAGGTGGGTATAATTAAATGAATCTAGAACCACTTTAAGTTCCTCTATACTTTCTAAGGTTACTCTATCTTCCTCTTATACCAACTGACTCTATTCTTTACTCTAAAAATATATTTTATTGATTTTGTACAGAGAGGAAGAGAAAGAGAAAGAGAGTTAGAAACATCGATGAGAGAGTCATAGATCAGCCGCCTCTTGCACACCCTCTACTGGGGATGTGCCCGCAACCAAGGTACATGCCCTTGACCGGAATCGAACCCGGGCCCCTAGAGTCCCCAAGCCGACGCTCTGTCCATTGAGCCAAACCAGTCTCGGCTCTATTCTTTACTCTAATTAAGATCAACTCCTCCCTGGTCTATAACCAGTCTGAGAGCAACAAGGAAAGTACAGAACAAGTAGAAAAGCCCTTGCTTCCTTCTCAGGCTTTATGAAACATCTAAATGGCATGCTTAACGTTCTATTAGGACCACAGGGGGGACAAAATCAACTTTCAATAGCAAAGGGCCATATACATATGATACTTCTTAACAAAGGGCCATACACAAGGACAACAGCTCCAAATGTGCTATGAACTGTGTGGTACCAAACAATTTCAGCTAGTTGCCATCATCAGCCTCATTTGTGCCCACAGTGCTATTCAGATGTGACGGCACACATTATGGTCCAGATGCACAGAGAATGCAACCTGGCTGTCCATGGACTTAGAGAATTAACATGACACAAATCGAACCTTTCTGCTGTATACTGTGCCATGGCACAACATGTAGGAAGCCCTGCTAATACCACACCACCCAAAGGGGCCCAAACCCGAGTCAGCATCTAATCTACAGTGTCATCACAGCAATTTCAACCTTTTTCATCTCATGGTACACACAAACGAATTACTAAAATTCTGCAGCACCAAAAATGTCTTTGCCATTCTGACAAAAAACAAAAATACTAGTTATAATTTTGATTGATTTACAATGATAACCATAGTAACTACTTACCCTTTTTTGCTCCAAAGTGATTTTAAAAAAATATATATATTTTAAATAAAAAAATATATTTTATTGATTTTGTACAGAGAGGAAGGGAGAGAGAGTTAGAAACATCAATGAGAGAGTCATCGATCAAGGCCTCTTGCACACCCCCTACTGGGGATGTGCCCACAACCAAGGTACATGCCCTTGACCGGAATCGAACATGGGACCCTTCAATCCCCAAGCCGACGCTCTATCCATTGAACCAAACTGGTTTCGGCTCCAAAGTGACTTTTTTTAAAAAATCAAGTGTCTATGCTTGTATATAAATAGGATTTCTGGTATTAAGAATTAACCAATCAGAGATAACCTTATTATGTGACATAACCAGTAAGATGCAACTATATTATATGATCTATATATTTATGTTTCAAGACACTGTTTGTGTTGGCTATTGTCATTATTTTAATTGACAATCTAAAGGAAAAGGGGTCAGTGTCCCTGACTAAATAGGCAGGTACTGCATGTTTTAAAAGTTTTTGCAGCACACCAATTGAAAATCACTATTCATACTATCAGGTAGTAACTTATACTATTTTATTAGATAATCACCATATCTTACCATCACTTTCTACATTTGTCTATCCAACACAGCAAAATGTAATAAAAGATTTAAGTGATAGTCTCTTAATTATATCTGTCAAATAAAGAATTGAGCCCTGGCCAATTTGGTACAATGGTTGGAGTGGCAGCCTGTGATTAAGGGCACATACATACCTTGGTTGCAGGTTTCCCAGCCCCGTGGGGGGGGGGTGGTGGTAATGTGTGCGCGGGAGGCAACCAATTAATTTATCTCTCTCCTGTCAATGTTTCTCTCACTCTTTCCCCCTCCTCCTTCCTACTCTCTCTGGAAATCAATGGAAAGGATATCTAGAGGATAATTTTTTTTTAAAGAATTATTGAAAAGAATCAAGTATATATGCAAGAAACAAGGAGTCTATATTTTAAAATCCCAATGATTGTGTCTTTGTTTTTAGCCCCAGAGTTCATTTTTAATGATTTACAGCAGTCCTGCCTTATAAATTTTTCTCTCTAGAATCTATTTCTGGTACATCTGCTTTCTTAATGAGCTTGAAATGAAATAAAAGTCCAAGGTTACCAGATTAGAATTTGAATAGTAATTAAAGGATTTATTCTTTTTAAAAAAGTATATTTTATTGATTTTTTACAGAAAGAAAGGGAGAGAGATAAAGAGCTAGAAACGTCGATGAGAGAGAAACATCGACCAACTGCCTCTTGCACACCCCCTACAGGGGATGTGCCCGCAACCAAGGTACATGCCCTTGACCGGAATTGAACCCGGGACCCTTCAGTCCCGCAGACTGACGTTCTACCACTGAGCCAAACCGGTTTCGGCTCCAGATTTTTTTTAAAAAAAAGTATATTTTATTGATTTTTGACAGAGAGGAAGGGAGAGGGATAGAGAGCTAGAAACATCGATGAGAGAGAAACATTGACCAGCTGCCTCCTGCACAACCCCTACTGGGGATGTGCCCACAACCAATGTACATGCCCTTGACCGGAATCGAACCTGGGACCTTTCAGTCCGCAGACCAACGCTCTATTCACTGAGCCAAACCGGTATCGGCTACTTTTTCCAGATTCTATCCTTATGGACCATTAAAATCAATGTGTGTCCTTAGAATTGGCTATAGATAAGAAAACTTTTCCTGATATCAGATCTGGTTCATTATTCACCTTTCTGAGTCCTACCAGAAATAAACAAAACAAAATCTTTAAATTTAGAAAAGACTTCAGATATCATTTAGTCTAACTGTAAACAGTGCATTATACTATTCTCTTGTATAGGACTAGGGGTGGAGATCACATTACCATAAAATCACTCTTTACCAGATTTTTAAAAATTGTTATATAATGTGTTAACGTTAAACTCAAAATGTGCTTCCTGATAGTTTGGGCTTAGCTCAAGTCTGCTGCTAAAATTGATTAAAAGGTTCAATGAGAGATCAGCCAAGGTGGCTCAGTGGTTGAGCATGGACCTATGAACCGGTTCACTGGTTCGATTCCCGGTCAGGGCTCATGCCTAGGTTGTGGGCTCGATCACTAGTAGGGAGCATAATGGAAACAGCCAATCAATGATTCTCATCATTGATATTTCTGACTCTCCCTCTCCCTTCTTCTATGAAATCAATAAAAATATATGTAAAAAAAGTTCTATGTGATATATTTGAAAAATGATAATGAATTGCCCTTATTTTCTATTTTTTAGGCTAAATACTCACTTCGTTATTTTTTCCTCAAATGCTGCAAAAATTCTAGTCACTTCACTATCCCTTGTGTAGCCAATTAAGTTTCTCATGTCTCCTTAAAATGTGGTCTCTGGACTCTAGCGTAGTGGGTGTAGTTGGTTGGGCATCATCCGTGCACAAAGGGGTTGCCAGTTTGATCCCAGCTAGGAGGTGTACTGGAGATAACAAGATAACAGTTTGATCTCTCTCTCTCTCTCTTCCTCCCCAACCCCCGTCCTCTCTAGGAATGCTTAAGCTGGGCTATTTTCAGAAATGGAGGTGTGTAATAACAGCCAAGAAAGCTCAGTAAGCTGAAGTTCCCACCAAGCAGACAGGTTTCGGTGGGAAGACAGGGGAACACACCTCTTTAATAAAGTACTTGGTTTTCCAGGGTGTGCCCGTTTCAGCCCGATGCCTTTCCTCAGCCCTCTGGCGCTCTTCCAGGGTGCGCTTATGCTCCGTGGCCGCATCAATTTCAGATTCCCTCAGAGCCTCTGTCACATTTTTCCACAATCGCCTGAAGTCAGAAAACCACACATTTCACAAACATTCTTAAACAAAGATAGTAAAGAGAACTGATACTCTCAAAATTAACAGCAATTTAAAAAAATCACATTTCCTAAATCAGATGTATAATTTCATGCCTATGAGTTATAAGAATACTGATATCACATTGCTGATGTTAATGTCCTGTTATCAATTTTGTGCAGAATATCCATGCTACTTTCCATGTTGCCTGAACTAATTTATATTCTTACCAACAGTGTAGTGTCCCTCCCCCATTCCCTGGCCGTGGATTCCACATACAAATGATATCATACAGTATTTGTCTTTGTGTGGTTTATTTCACGTAGCATAATGCCCTCAAGATCCAACCATGTTGTCACAAATGGCAGGATTTCCTTCATTTTTTTTTTATGTCTGAATACTATTTCCTTATATATATGTACACACACACACACACACACAAATACACACACTTCTCTATTTATCCACTGATGAACACTTAGGTTTGTTCCATTTAAATTTTACTATTTGCAACAAATAGTTTCAAATTTTTTCTGTGAAGTGCCATATTTGCATTCTTCATTTGTAAGAAAAATCTAATAGTGAAATTAGAACAGCTACTGTTTGTCAACCAGTCTTTTAAGCAAAATTGGCGTTTCATAAGGAGTAACTTGCTTGTAACTCAGAACAACTGCACAAATGCTTTCCCTCCAGGTAACCAACCACTGTCCTTCAGGATCCAGCACAAGCGGTTTATGCCTACTACCAATGTGTCATGCAGAACATAAAAAGATTTATTTTGTAAGAAACTAGCATTTTACAAATTGTAAGTACATAGTAGTGAAGAATACAATGACTACTTGTCCAGTTTGGTGCCACTGCCGTGATCAGTGTTATGCCCAGCAGTGCTCCCTACCATTGCTTTGGCACCACCAAAGCAAATAGAAGCAGAGTGAAATAGGTAAATAACATCTTATCATTATTATGAAAAAGAAGAAGAAAAAAGAAATTGGAGATACTCTCAAGAGATCTCAAGGATCCAAGGATCTGCAGACCAAACTTGGAGAACCTTTTCTTTAAGATAAATACCTAGAAAAAATTTTTACTTCAATTACTACTGTTTTATTTTTTGACCCAACCCCAGTCTTTGGTTAATGGGTATTTAATCCCTTTTCTCATCTAAATTGTATTGTTCCACTTATGTGATATAACTTAATATATTTAACTAGAGGCCCAAAGCACAGAATTCATGCAAGGGGTTCGGCCCTCACAGCCGCGGAGGCTTGCCTAAGCCCATGCAGCCGCGGCTTAGTCTGGAAGGTCGTTCGGCTGTCTGGCCTAATTAGCATATTATGCTATTATTATTATTATTATAGATGCTTTCCTGTGCTTTCTTTATTCATTTAAAATTGATACAGTAATACTTTTCCACATGATACAAAATGCAAGCAAGGGTGATCTCTTTCCTGTCTCAGACCCCTGTACTCCTTTTAAAAAGTAACCACTGTTGACACATTTTGGAGGCTGTACCTTATTAACACATTTATAATAGATCCATGTCACTTACTTTGAAAGGCCTATGATATACACTGCCAAAATACTCTTTGAAGGCTGTTCTAATTTACCTCCTAACCTGCTGTATGAAAATGTCTATTTGCTCACACTTTCCTCCTCAAAAGGTCCTTATTTTAAAAACTAATTTGTCTTATTGTTTAATTTATATTTCTTTGAATTCTCATTACACTGAACATTTTTTTCATTTTCTTAATGGGCATTTCCCCCGCTATTTTTATGAGCTACCTCTTACCTCTTTCTGTTCTTTGCCCATTTTTCTACTTGGGAGGTATCTGTCTTTATTAATAACTAGAGGCCCGATGCACGGAATTCGTGCAAGAGCAGGCCTTCCTTCCCCCGACGCTGGCACCAGCTCCCCCTTGCAGCCCCGGTTTCATCCGGAAGATGTCTGGTCTAATAGCATATTATGCTTTTATTATTACAGATGTGTAAGAGTTTCTATGGTAAGGACAGCAGTAATACTTTCTGTTAAATGTTAATATTTTGCCCAGTTTAGCAATAAGTTTGACTTTTACTAAAATGTGACTGTGTATCATATAATGCCATAGCTGGTAAGGGCTTTAA